GTCCCAAACTATAAAAGACTTTCTGGATTCTTTAAACAATAGGACACTTTTGTCAAGCCTCTCTTTTCCAAAATTTCCCACCATTTCCGTCCATCCATCCATTTTAGTGAAACATGAACGAAAAGACCACTTGAGAAATTAAATTTTGGCATCGTATTCCTTTTAAAAATAACCACGGGCCATACTTTTTTTGCCCCGTACACTAAGAAGGAAAGCACTACGGTGAGGTGAGAGTTTTCATGTTGCTTATGTAACCGTTTTTGTTCCTTTCATATCAGTTGTTTCATGTATTAATTTGTTGTCTTAATCTTTCGGAAGTCTTCGAGAAACTTTGTTTTTCTACAACTGAATTATTCCATGTCATGAATCGACTACACGAACTCAAAGTTGCTTTAAAGTTTTCACTTTCATTTGCATTCATTTTTTGCCCACTTTGAGGCAAGTAAACATACGCTGTTTCTTATTATAAGTAGCCCATTCTGGCGATTTGCTATGGCCTAGTTCGCAACACTTACTTCTAGGCTAGGCAAGCAAAGCACATTTTTTCTTTGGCATATTAATTAGTGTGATTTCACTTTTCTTCTACTCACGTACGAAGCTTTCTTCAATATCAAACATTCTTGCCGAAACCCGAATTGCATTTTCTTCCAGAAACTGAATGACTTTGCATTTTAGTAACAGCAGTGTATTTGTTTTGTTTGTCAAGAGCCATTTTTACTTCTAAAAGGAACACTAGATCACATTCATTTCGACTAAAGTAAATGCTATGTACTAAAGCCTTCGACGTTCAGAAAACATCCGACTCTTAATTCTAAGACTTCATTCGGGTCGAAAATCCATTTTTACCCCAAATTATGTCATCCCCTTTCTCAAAACCCTATAATAACATTCTTGTGCACACTAGCATTGAATACAACCCACTCTCTTTGCAGAATTATTTACTCACTCAAGCATTTCATCACACAAATATTGTGCTCCTTATCGCTTTTCATTTCAGTATACCATTATTCGAAAGCCTGAGAAAAATCTTCAGATGAGTGACTTTAAAAGATAAGAGCATCCCACGTATATCTTGCAGATTTCTTCATAAAATAAAGGGCGCGCGTTATTCCGCAAATATACCTAAAAAAATATTTGAAATTATAGAAGAGTGTTATACACCAGTGCGCCTAATACGATGGAATGCATGGTATATCAAGCGAATGGAGTAATTTTATAAAAAAAGAGATTTATATCTTTTATGAAGAAGTAGTAAAATTCTATGAAACAATGACCAATTATTTGAAGCTGAATGTTCCTAAAAAAATACTTAGTGTCTTTTTTGGATGACTTTGGAAAACGTACCAGATTGAAAAATATAAAACAATTGGTGGAATATTTATAAACAAAAAATATTAAACCTCGTCATTAATGACTCTGTAAGCGGTTGTAAAGAAATTATATTAATTTTTGATATATTACAAAAAGTGTAACTATTCTATGGGGAAAATTTAAGCCGTTGGAATTTGTTAATATATTTTGCAGTCGAATCAGAAATATCTTTAAAATACTAAACCGATTATTTGTCAAGTAGGATTATCTCGTTAATGCAGTAAAATTGCGATATGGTAACAGTCTCAAAATTTTAGCTGAAATCAGTCTTAAAAGCAATAAAAAAGAAGAATGGGAAAAAACTCGGCAGATACGAAAGAAAATAGCAAATTTGGAATTGATTGTTCTTTGTTTATTTATGCAAAAAGTATTAAATGAAAAAACATGTTAAAAATATTTAAAAAATAATATATATTTATAAGCTACGCAAAGTTTAAATTACGCCAGCATAAATACAAAGAAGCTACAAAACGACTTTGAACTTAATTCATCAGAATCGAAAGAAATGGTTAAATAAAGGGGGGATATCTAACCAAGATTTCTAATGGAGAGATAAAAATAAGATAAAATGTCATTGAGTTTTTGACGCATCATAATTGCAATCTCATGTAGAATATTTTAAAGTGAATGTATTTTACTGCGTTTTAGACATTATTTCAGCGCAAATAAATTAATCGATTTATTGGCATGACAAAAGTGAGAGAGGTCGATTTGGTTTTTTAGAACTCATTATATTATATATGCTAAGGAAACTCAATTAATACCAAAATGTGAGAATAAGTACATATTTATTCTGAAACACGGTAGACAGAATTTACTTCACAATTTATATATCTACTAAGGTTATGTAAAGATGATTTTAAAATATGATCATTCAAGAACTTGGGAACTTAATGCTAAAAAAATACTGTTCGAGGGAAAATCGACTTGTAGGATATGTGTACAGTTTTCTTACGATTCCTGGAGCTGTTGCTACAGTATCGTTTACAAAGCTAAAAATCATTAAATATTACAGTAGGAATACGACTGGACAAGTACGATTAAACTTTCTTACTCTCTTTCGCTTCTAGCCATCGAGGATGAAGAGACAAATAAAATGGACCTGAAGAGTAGAACTCGTTTGCCTAAACCAGCGTTTCTTAAGCTATGTTCCACAAAATCTTGGGGTTTCATGGAGACCACTCAAGAGTTCTGTAAGCCTTACTTGTTTTTTTAACATTCAAAGAAAGAAACTTGAAAAACAAAGCACTAAAAATGAATGCCTCTGCTAAATTAAAAAAAAAACCGAATAAGAACTAATCTTCGTTTCCGCTTACTAATTGGGGTAGTAAATGCAAATGCGCGAGTTTTGATGATGCTGTCGAGACGACACTGGTATATTACAGCAGCCATACTGGAGAATCACCTCGAATTCCGCTATCGGAGATTCCTCGGTTCATTTCTTTACTGATCGCTACCCATGGAAAATCCTACAGATCTGGAAATACAAGGAATCCCTCAGTTTTAAAGTACGGATGAATTCCATACACTTGAATATAAAACAAAATCCCACGAGAAGCAACGATAATAGTCACTTGTCAATGCGTGTCTTATATAATATAAATTGATTGAAGGCTTTTATTTTAATTATTTGTTTATTGATTAAATTTATTGGTTTTTATAACATCACATCACATATTCTAATCCAGGACATTAGAACTAAAAGACACAACACCTCGGGAGCCTAAATGTTAATTATAAGGAAATCCAACCAGAATAATGGACAAAATTTATTTTTCAATGATTACGCATACAGATACCATGCGACAACTGCACTGATATTTCTACTGATAGGGCAAACGCCATGAGCGCAATAATTAATTGCGCTGTATAGCTTATTAAAACTGTCACCAAAACCTCTTCTAGTAAACACTGCATGGCACGCTGGTAGGCAAATTCTTCTGAAAAAAAAATTATTTCCCATTTATAAGATAGCTCTTCATGAGATCCAAAGTCCTTAACTTCACAAAATCTTCGGCTACTAAATAATCGTTTATTCAAAATTTTATGTTAGGACATGGGAAAAGTACATACATCTTTCTTTTTATATTATGAAGTCAGATGGTTATCTTGAGTAAAGATACTAACCTGTATTTTTTCTCAGAATAGAATTTTGAATTGAAAAGTCGATTATTTGATAGAAATTGGCTGCTAAAAATTTCCTACTTAAGCGATATTTTCACAAAGATCAATCCCCATATCATTAAAATTTAAAGGGTTAACTTCAGGGCAAACAAGTAAATGCATTTTCTACTCGCGAAATAAATTCTTACTTTCAGGAAAAGAAAGAATTTCGAACAATATGTGTGGGCTTCGACTTTGATATCTCTTTTCAGAAGAGAAAGGAGTTGAAACAGGGAAGACATTTATTGAAGAAATTATTCAGCACCTAAAATGTTTGAATGAAGCTTTTAATCAGTATTTTCCAAATAAATATCTAAATGAATTGGGGATTAAAAAAACCACTTAGTTAAGATAAAATGCGGAATAACGATTATTGAAGGCAACACAAATCAGCGTATATGCACTGTATTGTGAAATAATAAATGCAATAAATAGTTATTTTTGCATTGGTTGGGCTACAAAAAGGGGAGAAAACACGAAAGTAAATTGCTACTTATCAACGATGCATAAAATCCTTTTATATATCTTCCGTATTATAAAAGCGCGATGCTCAGTGTAATAAGGAAATAAGGGACATTAAGAAAAGTGAATTATGTGAAAAGTTATTTTGTATACAGTTCTTAATAACATTTTGGGATAAATATTATTTTATACCATATTGGTTATCAATAAAATAGGATTTTAATATCCATTAATGTAGTAATTGAAAAAACTGTGTGTATACTTCTTCCGTATACTGCCGTTTACATGTAAATTTAAGTCGAATCGTGATGATGAAATCTTATAGCAAACGTATAGACCGCAATCCTTTCTAAATATTTCATTTTTTAATTTTATTCAAACCGTGAGATACTTTTTTAAAATTTTGATATTTTTCTGCTTATATTAGTTCAACAGGAAACACAAATGAAAGGCCAACACTTTAAAAATTTAACTTACTTTTGAACTTAATTAAAATTTTATTCCACGATAAAGATTCAATCTTATTAAGTTGGTATCTAACTAATCCTGCAAGTTGGTATCTATCTAAACATTATACTAGTCTTTTAAGTTAATCTTACAGTCGATCTCACAGTCTCCACTCAGAAATTCATAACCACTCTATACTTACCTAATATCAAAACATTTATCAAGTTATTAAAAAATAATTAGAAGGAGTGGAAAGAAAGGGAAAGAAAATACGGGGTATCTTGATAGCGAAACGTGAAGGCACAAAAACTCTTCGAAACACGGAAAGTCTCTTGTTCCCGAGTGAAAACTTGCGAACTGTTTAAAGTCCACACACCCACCTCCCCTCCTCCACTTTTAAATCTCTTATCTTTTTTTTTTTTTTTTTTTTTTTTTTTTTTTTTTTTTTTTTTTTTTTTTTTTTTTTTTTTTTTTTTTTTTTTTTTTTTTTTTTTTTTTTTTTTTTTCCAGTTCATCTAATATGTAAAAGTAGTAACCAAGGACTTCTCTCAAAATCTGCTTATCTGGAATAAACAGCTAATCTCTGATATTGCCCATTAAAAGCTTATAAATTAACACGGGTATCAAATCACCACAATTTCAGTCCCGCCGAACGCAATGATAACCTTCGCGGTAGCTCTCGTCTCGCTGGTGACCATAGCCACGCCGAATGACGCGTTGGTCATCCCGCATGAAGTGTCTGACATGCGGCTGCTCGCCGGTAGTAATTCATCGGAGGATGATGCCCTACGAGCGATGTTAGACGAAATGGTCAAGTCACAGATATTAGAGAAGCTGAACTTGAAGGAGCCTCCAAGACCCTCCTCGGCTATAAGGAGAATGTCGAAGGAGGTGGTGCGACTCCTCGCTAAGGAAGCTGATCAGCAGTTGAGGAAGGAACAATCTGAAGATGAAGATAGTGTGGTGCTTTACGCAAATAATAGTAAGTGCAACTTAACTATTCCTATATCCCGGTAAAATCTTTTTACCCCAAAATGCATGATATACGGAGTTAGACATCATAGATTAAGGAAAAGTACACTAAGGCTATTTTCGTTCATGAAATCGTTACTATTCCATGTTAAGAAGGCAGGAATGCTTTCTAATGGAAACTTGCTTGTATTCACGTTGCACATCAGAAAAAAAATATATATATGGAGTTAGAAGTATTTTGATTAATAATAATAGTGCAACGAATGTTCATACAAATTTCAGTTGGATCCGTTATAAACCAAATTTTATCAATTATTATTAATTTAAATTGCATAAACTATATATAACATTAAAAATAAAAAAAAAATTTTAATTTTTGTAAAATGTGGTTATTGTTTTAGTTTGGTTTGGTTTGGTTTATGTGATTATGGCAAAACCTCAAGGGCTCTCTGCCTAAGGGTAGGAATGCCTTCGTGGAGAACTTTCTAAGGGAAAATTGGCTAGTATACACGTTACATACGAGGAAAAACTACGAAAACGCCCCTGCAGTTAGCTCGTTCGCGTGATTCGAACCTCGCGACCGAACTATCAAAATTCAGTGACTTTACCTCTCGGCCGCTGGTGTGCTTGGTTATTGTTTTTAAGTAGCTCGGTCTGTTGAACAACGCGGTTATAATTTGAAAGGTAAATTTAAAAAATGAATGGAAAGGCATGTCGAATGCATTGGATAATTTGATAATGGCAAGGCACTTTAGGACTATCTGAGTGAGGTAAAATATACCTCCGTAGAGGGCGTATTGTAAGAGAAACTGAATCATATTTACGTTGCACATGAGAAAAACCACGGGAATTCCCATGCAGTCAGTCCGTTTGCCGGAATTTAAAGTCGGGTCATTCATGTGAATTGACCACTCTTTGAAAACTCGCTATTTATAACTCACTGTGGAAAGAAAATTAGACATGTTATATTTCGTGAAAGGTTAACGTTTAACAGGTTGCCAAGATGATAGATAGCATAGTTGCGTAATGTAACATAATGACCCAGAAAACTGGAATGTGTTCAATGAAGTTTTTAAAATTAAATATTATATCGCAGACATTTAAAACTAAAATCCGATAAAAATAATGATTATGTTTGCGCAAAAAAAACTATTAAATGCACTTTACATATTTAGTGCAAAGTACATATTTTTAATGCTTAAAATCATAATCCATTAAGAAAGTGAGACTCATCCATAGTCTCAGATATTCAAAAACTGAGATGTGATCAAAGAATGACTTCGGGTAAATGAGCGAATCACTATCGAAATATGTTAAACCAGCGATATTCAAAAAACTGTGAAGAGATGGAACCACAGTCATTTAAAACCCAGATCCGTCAAAGTAATTGTGCTGAAAACTGTGTTTCGTTATACGATAAATAAACCAGTAATTAGTAGCTTAAAGAGCATGGTAACTATCGAAAATTGCTCCTAATAGCTACTAACACGATGCTGCGCTTTAAAATAACAATTTTTTATTGCAAAATAGGTCTAAAGTACACTAAACTAGGGCTATCTGCTTTCGTGAAAGATTTTCTAAGGAAAAAGTTTTAAAAGAATTATTGTCTGAATTCGAAATGTTACCTTTTCTGACAAGATTTTTTTTCGAAGCTAGTCTTAGATAAAATATATTTGCTATTTATTTATTTTCATATAGCAATCTGATTTTCATTACTACAGTTATTGTGAACATTTTCATTGGGATATAGACTATCACGAATTAAATATATTTAATTTATATCAATTAGATACATTATTAAAATAGTAAAAAAAATTCAGATTATTAATAAGCGCTTTTAAATTTTAAACCAATAACAGACTGATTAAGCTTAAAGACAAATTATTCTTTGCTGAGTGAAAACATTCCGAAAGTCAACTATGCCAAGAGCGTGTGAAGAGTAAATTAACATTTTCCCTTTTCAAGCAGTGGCAATAATTGCCGAAGTTAGTGAACGATATACAGTATTGCCAATACATTTCTGAAGAAAAGTAGGATCGTCATTTATCACTAATTCATGTGATGAGTCAAGAAAAGATCGAGTGCGCTCCAAAAAAATGTTGACTAATTACAGTTGATGTACGAAGGAAAGAGCATGCGGTCAAGAAAGGGACATTGAATTTAACTGCAAAGGGGAAAATAAACGAGTGCGTTATCGATTATAAGTGGAGATATATTGTAAAAGAAAAGTGTTTTTAGGTCTCATTTCAGTATCAGTATAGCAGGAGTAAAAACTTGAATGGAGCTACAGAGTTCTCCTCTATTCTTCATTGCAAGTCAGTAATGTATGCAAGTATGTACATGGTACCAGGATGGAGACAAATTATATAGGATGCGAAAAATTTTGGAGGGCTCTTTAATGTATTATGAACTAGTTTAATAATATTAGTACGCACGTTTTTGGATTATTAATAACATATATCTCCTTATAAATGCAAATTAAATTATAATTATAGAATGAATTTAATAATTATATTTATTTATTTATTAACATTTCATTATTTTCGTCTAAGAATTTCCTTACCCCCTTGTGCAATACATACATGTAAGTCACGAGGCTAAAAAATACTGCTATAAATAAATAATCCGATCCAATTCCAGTTTAACAGCACTAATTGTTTACGGAAAGTATCCTAGTTTTTTAAACTTTCATATCATCTAACATGAAGTTAATTACTTAATCATCTTAAAAATGATTTTGTGTGCTTATTGAATTGAATATGGCAAAGCATATGAAAGTTGGTGAGGCATGGTTTCATAGAGAATATTTTTTAGAGAAAATGGGCTCATAATTACATTACCTTAAGAAAATCCACGAAAATACTTACTCACAGGCTGTAGGAGGGCTCGTTCAATCCATTTGTTAAATTTGCATCTAATTTTCAAGCCTCCCTTTTTTTGGCTAGATGATTCATTCAAAGGAAAATACATATTACTCACTGAACTTCGCACGTTAGTCTAAATAACCTTTAAACTCGATGAACAGTATATTTCTGTGACAAAGAGAGCTTTCTGACTGCACAATGTTTTTTACATTTAACGAGCTTATGCCGAATAAGTTTATTCGCTATTTTATGTAATTTCTGCGATATTTTGTAATTGTTATATTTTTTAAAATTTAAACTTAAATTTTATTTTTTTAAAGATATTTTCCTTTTATTTACAAATATTTGTATTTTCTGTTTTTCAATGAAGTGAAACATTTAATTAGATTCTGATACTTTGTTTTCATAAGATAAAGTACGAACTCTTTGTTAAAATTTTCATAGCTCACTGTAGCTTACACTGCGAGTCCATTCATCCGTTTTGAAACCAGGAATGAATTAACAAATCGATCTTTCCATTCATCGGTCCTATTGACTTGAAAACGTGAGCCTGAGTAAAGAGGGAAATATCTCTCATAAATAAAGCCATTATAAACGCATTTCTGAATAATAATTTTAAAATTTGACGCTCCTTTCAAAATATTTATTAATTACAAATATAAATATATATATTGAAAATTACGAAAGGAATAACATATATGTATTTGTAATTACGAGAATAAGTAGTTCTGTATGTATGCAATAGGGCTTTAAAAATTTGGATACATAAACATTTTTTCTTCAACTAAATGTTAGAATTTATTAACTATCAGCTTCTCATCGACTGTACGCATCTCTTCTCATCAACAAATGATAACATCCTGGATTCAAATGAACCCCGACAAAAGTTGATCGACTGCTATTGAACTCTGAAGAAAAGTTTATTAGAGGGAAAATGACAATTAAAATCACTTAAAATTCTACTTAATTTTTTAATTATTTATTTACTATATTAATTTATTACTAATTACAATGGATTAGAATATCTGAATAGGAATTAACTGAGTATTTAAGAAAAATATTAAGACTGCGCGAATAGAAAAATAATTTTTGGGAATGTTTGCTTTCTTATCATTTTACTCAATGAAAATTAAATTAAAATTTGTGAGCTAGTTAATCTGTCTTGTATCCAGCATAGTTCATTGATCCGTAATAATGTGCCATTTTTTAAAAAATTTAAATGCTTCAAGAATAATTAGAAAAGGACTTGATTCTCTTCTTATCCTTAAATTCTTCATTAATAAAATTGCGTTTTCATCTATAATCATGTGAAATAATTCTCTAAATATAATTCAGAGCAGAAAAAATAAGATACATAAACGGCTTGGAAATGGAATTAGCACTGAGGTCCTCTTTAAGAAATATGATGAAGCTTACAAAAAGTCTATGAAGCGAAGTAATCCCGTAGAATATTTTATAACGTTCTATGATTAAATTGCACTGAATTACACTTTATAAACGACATGTAAATATAGTTTAATAATTTAATGTGGATGCATGGGGGGCTCGCTAGCGGGTGAGCGGTAAAGTCGTTGAGCACTGGTAGGTCGATCCGGGTTCGAATCTCGGTGTACGGCATGGCTGTATTGGCGTTTTCGTGGTTTTCTCCATGTGTAACGTGTATACGAGTAAGTTTTGCTTAGAAAGTCCTCCACCGAGGCATCCTTACCCGAGGCATATAGCCGTCAAGCGCTTTGCTGTAATCAAACAAACCAGACCAAACAATATATATATATATAACTAGCTTAAAAACTGCTTTATTTTATGCATACTTTTAAAATGGTATGCATATTTACATATAAGAAAAAATATTCAAATCAAAATTATAATTTAAAATGCCTCTTAATTGCTTATTTTTAATTTGGGTACTTCCTGTCTAGTAATAACTTTTTCTAAAACTGCGTCACATCTGAAAATTAATTCCGCATATGTCAACTTAAAACATCGGCATTACCTCTAAGTTTTAGCTAATGAGATTAACTAAAAATTTTACCATAAATATCGTTGCAACACAACTACCCTCCCTCTTTCTGTGCCTATGCTTGCTACCTTAAGGACGTCTCTTGGTCGGCTGCTTTTTAAAAAATGTAATGCGCCATCAATCAAA